CTGGGGGGGGGGGGGGGGGGGGGGGGGGAGTTTTGTGGCCTTCACAACCACCTCAGCATAGTCCATGTATATGTGCTAGGTGGGAGTAAGGAATTTTTTTTCTCCTGGTTACTATGGGAGGGAACCTTGGACCTTGCCAATTCCCTTGAGATTGAGAAGGCTCCAGTGAAACTCTTCTGCTTACTTTGCCAGATATGCAAATGGCATCCCATGCTTAGGGGAGAGGCAGGGAAAAGGAAAAGAAAATCATCTTACCCCACTTTCATGCCACTGATTCTGGCTTAGGCTCAGTGAAGGGAGTTTCCATGCAGTCTGCCCACCCATCCCAAGGGTGGACCTTATCCCCTCACTACCTGGAAACAGAATTTCTGGGGCTTGCTATCTGTCACTTCTCAGAGAGTGTGACATTCACCCTACTCACAGAGCCAGAAGAATTTTTTGGTTTAAGTTTAGCAGTTTTGAGGAGGAAAACCCCAAAGCCAATGAAGAAACAGACATTTAATTAAAAATCATTCAAAGATCCTGTGAAATTTCAGCTTCAATGGAAGCCCTGGAGTCTGCCATGTATGCCACTTGGAGGTAGATAATTCTGGGAGTGCTTCCTGAATGGCAATCCTAAACCCAGGTTTAGAACAGAGATCTGTTCTTTCTCCCGTTGCCATGGAGACCCAGAATACCCCACTGTTTTGTGGCCTCCATGTCCAACATGGAGGAGACTGAGAATTAAATACTAACCTCCCTCAGCTCTGAAAAAAAGAGAGGCAGCTGCCATGTCAACACTAATTCTTTAAATTGTTTAATCTAGTGAATTGTTCTGAATACAGATTAACTTTTATTAACCTTTGAAAATTGAATTTGCATGAGTTCTGATGAACTGATTGAAGGTTGTTTGGTTTCCCTATAGATTCTTTAAGTGCCTTAGTTTCCTCTACTGAAATGCTGGTTTGCTATATCCTACAGCAGTATTCCTCAGTGAGTCCCAACAGCTCTTATTATAAACAATGCAAAGCAACAGTATAGAAATTAGGGAGTGGGAGATATTTTCCCTTTTCCACATGGCTGTACCCTCCAATGTCAAACTGCCAAGCTACATTTAGTTTCCACATTATCTCCATGCTGACACCGACCAGTCCTGCACTTGAATTGCAAGTCTATAAAAAAGGAAAGAGGTAATATGCAATCCTATTGCACCACTGAGGGGGCTCCCACTCAGATTCAGAAACTACTTTACAGTGGCTTGAGTGCATGTTTGTCTGCTGGTTTAACTAGGACTTTACAATCATTTCCATTGCTCTTAAGACAAATAAAATATTAACCATATTGCCAGAGCTGAAAATTTGTTCTCTAAAAGACTAAATAGACTAAGGCTATGGCTACACTAGCGCTTTACAACGCTGCAACTTTCTCGCTCAGGGATGTGAAAAAACACACAGTTTGTGTGCAGCAAGTTACAGCGCTGCAAAGCGCCAGTGTAAACAGTGCCCCAGCACTGGGAGCCGTGCTCCCAGCGCTGTAAGCTAATCCCCTCGGGGAGGTGGAGTACCTGCAGCGCTGAGAGAGCTCTCTCCCAGCGCTGGTGCGCAACCACACTCGCACTTCAAAGCGCTGCCGTGGGAGCGCTCCTGCCGCACTTTGGAGCTTCGAGTGTAGCCACGGTCTAAAACTGGCTTAGATTCTTGTTACTTCCTTTTGTGCTTCCAGATTTGTTATGCATGTTGGTCCTGATTAATCAAAGCATTTAAGAATATGCTTCCGTCCATTGAAGTCAACAGAATTTAAGAATATGGTAAAGTGCATTTCTAGATCAGGGCCATATTCCCACAGTCGACTGGGTGCTATATATTATTAATTACATATGTTGCTACCCATGACTAAGAACTTCAATGTTATAATTACAAAGCTTGGTTCTCATGATCTGAGGATGGATAGTGAGTATATCTTACTATGGATGGAAGAGGGAAATGCTATAGATGTTTGGATGGATGAGTTTTGAGAGGAGAAACTTCTTTGATAGCACTTTTTCCTTGTCTAATTATTATTTCACACACTTGTTTATAAGGAACCTAGACATGACTCACTCACTTTTTGTATTGGGTTATTTTGGCTACTTGCATTAAAAAAATAAAAGTAATGCTTTTTTTAAAGTCAGCCATAATGGTTATAACAAAAATAAGCAAACACACACACACACATTTTTCCAGGAGTATAAAAATGACGTGTGATAAGTTTTGATGATCAACATTAGGCCATCTCTGTCAACAGAGAATTAGCTCCCCTTCCCCTCCCCCCCTTTAAGTTGTACTTGCCTATGTTCACAAGATGTTACTGGCAAAAAAGCTTCTTGCAGTCAGTAAGACTACATTCCAGTAACTACAAACCATTATTATCCCAGCTATCCAGTCACTGCTAGGATACCACCATTGACTATTGGCATAGAGCCTTGGCCTTTTCAGTTAGGGTGTACTATTGGTTTGGGAAGGAAGAGTAATCACAGATACTCAGGAGAAATGTTCAGAAGGAACATGGAAGAGGAACAGCAGTGGGTACATTGCCAGAGTAAGTGCCCCTTTCTGCAATATAGATAGAGGGTCAGGAAGGATAAAGAGAGCTGCACTTTCAGGGTTTAAAGCAAACTTTGAAATCATGGTAGGTGGAAGGGAGAAGTGATGCACTGACAGTGACATTTAATTCATAGTCACCTGACAACAGTTATGTAGTTAATAAATCAAAATATGTATCTGTGAAAAATGATACATTCTCAGATTATAAGACAAGACTTCCTTCCAGAGTTATATGGGCACAGGAACGTGAAGAAAAAGATGTAGGAATCCTAATCACCCTCCCTGTATATAAGAACATAAAGATGGCCATACTGGCTCAGACTAATGGTCCACGTAGCCCAGGACCTGTCTTCTGACAGTGCAGAGGCTTCAGAGGAAATGAACAAAATAGGGCAATTATTGAGTGATCCATCCTGTCATTGAGTCCCAGTTCCTGTACACACTCACGGCTAGTTATCCAGGGGTGCAACAAGGTAAGGTTAGCTTCCATGCTACTAAGCTTCCACAGCAAGTAACAATGCTGTATATAGACACAAACCATATTTAAAATTAATCATGCTATTACCTGGTTACAAGCTTAGAAGACATAGTGCAGATGAACCAAAAAGCTGGATGCAAAAAGATAACTGGGTATATAGAGAGAGATGAGAGACTATGGTGTGACCGAGACATCAAACTAGTAAATAAGTTTGGCACCTGGTAAGGAAGCCACTGCTGCCCCCAAAAACTACAATAGGGAAACCTCAATGTCTGAGAAGTGAAACCTGGTCATAAGTGGCTCAGACATGCACAGGGGGAAGAACTTTCATCCTTTGCAACTAGGAGACTCCTGTTAGGACCCAATTGGAAGTGCACTCTCCCACTGAATTCTATGGGCTTTGGATAAGGGTTTTTACCTACATACCTCAAAAGAGAGATTCTGCTCTCATTTCACACAAAGTGGCAAAGCCTCCAAAAATAGCTTTTCTTCAGTTGCCAAAAATAAATGGTAGAAAGCGACGACAAAGTGTCCATTCTTTCAAGAGAAAGAAGCAGTTTTTGAACATAGTGTCTTGTTGCTGGACTAGTTATGTATTGTAGGCTAATCGTGTTAAGAAAAATATTTCTAGCTACTGCACTGGTTGTTCATTGTGTGAATCTCTCATCCTAGATTTTAAATAGATACAAGTAACTTGTCACCTCAAAAAAGGTTAATTGAATTTAAGTGGACTGACAAAAGCCTGGTAAGTGCAGGTTGGCAACATATAAGCTTTCCACACAGCACTGTCAATGGACCTCAGTCTTGACCTGCAATATTCCCTACTATTCAAGTCCTGTGACACCACACAGCAATGCCAATTCACCTCACTATTGATATATAGCATCTGTTATCTTATGCACAGGTGCATTGTCAAGATACAACACCAGATTCTAATCTCCCTTACAGAAGTGCAGATCAGGAGTTACACCATTTATGTCAATGAGTTACACGACTGATACTCATTTAAGGAAGCCAGACCTTAATACCACGTCTCGCATTCGAGATTGCTGGGAGCCAAGATTATTTTGTGAAAGAACAGATACAATCTCCATATAGTATGTTGGGAATATAGTATGGAGAATGAAATAATGAGAAATACTGTGTTCCGTTTAGCCCAAGCTTGCAACAGAATCTACATCACCATTATTCAGTGCACCAATCACAGAGACAACTGCAGACCCATGTGTCAAAAACACTGTGTTACAGGCATCTACCAAGAAACAGGTCTATCCCTGTCTCTCCTTTTTTTGTGGTTACTTCAGGGGACTCACGCCTACCTCTCATCTGGCTGAAAGTGGTGATGAATTTGCTGGTCACAGACTTGAGTTCATTATTGGCCAGAGTTATGAGATGTATCCCTTCGGTGACATTCCTCATGACTTTGTAAATGCCAATAGGGAACATCATCAACTTGCAGTCAGCCAAATCTGTAGTGAAACAAAGAAAAAAGGACACAAACATGCAGAGCAGGATAGTGTGCACAGAATGCTTCAAGTTACCACCATGTTCATACATTTTATTCTATCCATAAGAATTAGAGAACCTCATAAGAAGAGACAGACAAATTGTCAAGCTCCTAACGTTACTGGTGCAGTATCAGTATGCATTTAACAGGGGACATTCCTTACTGAGAGGAGCTTGAGACTGCGAGAGGATTATTACAGCCTAAAGTTTACCTAGAGATATGAGCGTATATTAGTTTTTGCTTTGTGGATGCAATTTCTCCACCCCATCGACTTTTTCACAGCATGGAGAATGACATTTCATCGGAGGACCTTTTCCTCACCCAAAACCCTAGCTTGTGCTCCTGCTGCAATGACTCCCATGGAATATTACAGTGATCTAAAATTGCTGGGATGCAAGAACCCGCAACCATTCCCGCTCCTACTCATGAAATGCCCCTCAATTTCTGAATAGAGCCTTGGCCTCCAAGGGTTGGCACAGAGCTAGCCTTCTGGCTCCTGTAGATAGATGGCTTCTTGCACCAAGGCATTACACCGGGGGTATATGCGGCTGCTTTGTGGCTCCATGGCACCATGGAGGGACTCCAAAGGGACTCCAGGGGAGCCATGATGTAGGCCAGAGTGGTGAGATGGATCAGGTACATGGGGGATTCATGCAGCACACACACAAGCTGTACAATCAGCTTCTAGTACAAAGTACTTGTGGCTGGTCTGAAAGCTCTGCAGCTTACAATGCGCCTTTTAACAACGTACATGTGGTCAGGCAGATAGGAGCAAGGGGAGTGACGGCTGCTGAGAGATAGGAGCCCAGTCCCCTTAGACGAAGGGGCAAGATTCACTCCTGCTGGCACAGGGAGGTGCCAGCAAGGATGGCTGCATCACAGGAGGAGAGGGCATTCACCCCTAGGCACGGCAGGTTATTTTTCACCCAGGATGTCTATAGGAACCCTGCTTGTAGAGGCTGCAATGGGTATGTAATGAATTAGAGACTCCTCAGCCATCCTGCCAAAACTCCTCCCTGACCAACACCACACACTTTTGGGCTTACACTGGCTGCCTGCAGGAGGAGGCAGTGTTGCTGCTCCCATGGTACAGCTGTAGCCTCCCACTAGTACCCCCCATTTAAACTGGCAGAAGCGTAAACTAGAAGCGATGATTTATATTTCTGCTGTTAAAACTGATCGGGCTAGCCACTGGTCTTTGCTGTCAGTCAGTTTGTTGTTTTGGATTGCTCCTCACAGACAGTGGAACATGCCCCTCCTGCTACTCTTAGCAAGGATCAATAATTTCTCCTTGGCCTTTTTGGTGAAGGTCAAGTATAGCATCTGTTGCTCTTCTATCTCTCTGGGGGAAATGAGGAAAAAGATGGATTACACCTCCCTAATGTATTGTGGTGAGGGCCCTAGAACACCTATAAAAATAAATCAAGTACCTCAGAATTTCCTTGAGCAAAAAGCACATCATGTGGTTTTGCCTCCTTAGAAGTGATTAGAGGGCCTTAGTGTAACTGAGAGTTGGTTTCCTTTTTAGAGGAGTAGGGGGAATTGTTTTGTGATGCTAACAAACTGCCCAGTTCAGAAGGCAAGCAATCAACATCTCCCTCTCCAGTATGTTGCTGTTCATTGAATTTTTCTCCCTAGCTCCCTCAAGCCCCTACTCGCATCTATCTCCACTGTATTAATTTGCACTACAGACATATACAGTACTCAATCTACTATTGTACACGGGTATGTTTAGCAGAACAAAGCATAGTATGCAAGGAGCACAGCTGATTTTGATTAACTTGAATTCTTATAATCACTTTGAGGTTAATCCCAAGTGAAAAACAATCTGCCTCAGTTTACAGTGTAAACACGCCGTGATTAATGACCTGATTAAAGTCCACATTCATCACATACTCCATGTTGTATCTACAATCATAATCCCACACTTCTAATTCATATTGATTTTTAAATATGCAGATAAACACTTATCCATCTTTTGTCTCTATCCCTCCCACCTTACCAATGCTAAAGAAAGTGTATAAGTGTCAGAAAATGGGAAATCCTTTGTTCTAGAAGCTCCCCTCCTCCCCAAAATGATGGGCCTTTAATCGTGCCAGAAGGAAGGCTTTACATAAGCCAGATTCAAAGGGCATAATGCAACAGGTCCATTCCCCATATAGATTCAGAATCACCTTTGCTGACTTTAGTGACAACACTGTATGGCTTTTCCTGCGGAGCCATCACAGATAGGAAACCATGAGCTCATGCTTCATGGACATAATTGAGAACCAGATTCCAACTGCAAAGCTACCTGTGGAGCTCAATTGCATTCCAGTTGCCTTAAGTAAAGATAAGAAGCTTGCACAAGTGAAACTGAGCACAGGCTTTCACCTGCAGAGTCTTCATCACGGATGATACATGAGCTAGAGTTGGGGTTTTCACAACAAATTTTTTGGTGGCCTCAGAGTGCGGCCACCAACTTTTGCTGGTGGCCACTAAGACAGTGTTTCCTAAAATACTTAACTAACTTTAGAAAAACAAATACCGGTAAATATGCACATATACATGTCCAAATCATAGTAATTTATTTATGTAGAGGTTATAAAGAAATTCAGGAGAGCTGGCTGTTTCTCAGAAGGGACAATATTAAAAGCACAATTTCAAACTACCCCAAAGCAAAGGAAAGATATGAAGAACAGTAAGAGGCCAATATGGCTCCATCAGGAGTTCTTTAATGACCTGAAAATAAAAAAGGAATCCTACCAAAAGTGGAACATGGAACACTTTGCAAGGGATATAAAAAGACAAGAAGTTCTTTAAATACATTAGGAGCAAGAGACAAAGAAAAGTGCAGGTCCTCCACTTCACTGTGGAAGGAGAGCTAAAAACTGATGACATCAAGAAAGCTGAGGTGCTTAATTCCTATTTTGCTTCAGGCTTCACTAAAAAAGTTAATGATGACCAGATACTCAACGCACTTAATATTAACAAGGGGGAAGAAACACAAGAAAAAAGGGAAAGAACAGGTAAAAGAATATTAAGCTAAGTTAAACGTACTGTATTCAAGTCAGCAGGGCCTGATGAAATTCATCCTAAGGTACTTAAGGAACTAGCTGAAGCAATCTCAAAACCATTAGCAATTATCTTTGAGAACTCCTGGAAGGCAGGCAAGGTCCCAGCGGTGTGGAGAATGGCAAACACAGGGCAAGTATACACTAGAAACTTACTGCGGTAGTACATGTCCACACTACCCTCCTTCTGTCCGTGGTGAGTGTCCTCACCAGAGGCCCTTCCACTGACTTAAGATGGGGGAGGGGGGGAAGAGAGGTGTAATATTGACAAGAGTAACAGCCAACAGCTGATAAGTAAAAAAAGCATCTAAACAGACGCTGCATCGCTCTAATTACTCTCACATAAAACCTATGCCTCTTGTGGAGGTGGAGTTATTATGTCGGTGTAGTCAGGCACTTACATCAGTCAGAGCAAGGCTGTAGTGTGTACACTGACATAATTAGGTCGATGTAAGCTGCCTTATGTCGACCAAGACATAGTAACTAGGACTATGTCTATACTACTGCGGTAACTCAATCTACGCTACGCAACTCCAGCTACGTGAATAACGTAGCTAGAGTCGACATAACTTAGGTTGAGTTACTGCGGGGTCTACACCACCTTACTTTTCTCGTCGGGCGTAGAGTACAGGGGTCGACTGGAGAGCGATCTGCGGTCGATTTGGCGGGTCTTCACTAGACCCACTAAATCAACCACCAGTGGATTGATCTCAGAGCATCAATCCCAGCTGTAGTGTAGACATAGCCTATCTTTAAGAAGGGGAACAAGGAGGACCCAGGGAATTATAGACCAGTTAGTCTAACTTTGATACCTCAGAAGATGCTGGAACAAATTATTAAACAATTCATTTGTAAGAACGTAGAGGATAATACAGTTATAAGGAAGAGAGAGCATGGATTTGTCAAGAACAAATAATGCCATCTCAACCTAATTTCCTTCTTTGACAGAGGTCCTGGCCTAATGGATGGGGGGAAAACAGTAGATGTGATATATCTTGATTTAATAAGGCTTTTGACACAGTCCCCCATGAAATTCTCATAAGCAAACTAGGGAAATGTGGTATAGATTAAATTACTATAAGGTGTATAAGGTGGGTGCACAACTGTTTGAGAGACCATACTCAAACAGTAGTTGTCAATGGTTTGCTGACAAATTGGGAAGGGGTATGCAGTGGAGTCCCGCAGGGGTCAGTCCTGGGTCCAATAGTATTCAATATTTTAATTAATGACTTTGATAACAGTGGAGAATATGCTTATAAAATTTGCAGATGACACATGGCTTGGGGGAAGGGGAAGTTACAAGCACTTTGGAGGACAGGATTAGAATTCAAAATTACCTTGACAAATTGGAGAATTGGTCTGAAATCAACAAAATTAAATTCAATAAACACAAGTGCAAAGTACTTCACTTAGGAAGAAAAAAAATGGACAACTACAAAATGGGGAATTACTGGCTAGTTGGTAGTTCCACTGAAAAGGATCAAGGCAGGGGTTATAATGGATCACAAATTGAATATGGGTCAACAATGTGACAGTTGGGAAAAAGGCTAACATCATTCTGGGGTGTATTAACAGGAGTATCTTATGTAAAACATGGGAAGTAACTGTCCTCCTCTCCTTGGCACGGGTGAGGCCTCAGCCGGTGTACTGTGTCCAATTCTGGGCAATACACTTTAGGAAAGATGTGGACAAATTGGAGCAAGTCCAGAGCAACAAAAATGTTAAAAGTTTTAGAAAACCTGACCCGAGGAAAAAAAAACTGGGCATGTTAGTCTTCAGAAAAGAAGACTAAGGGGGGACTTGATAACAGGCTTCAAATATGTTAAGGGCTGTTATATAGATGAGGTAATCAATTGTTCTCCATGTCCAGTGAAGGTAGGATGAGAAGTAATGGGCTTAATGTGCAGCA